CCAGAGAAGCTGTGGCTGCCCCTGGATCCCTTTGAGTGCCCAAGGCCAGGCTGGACATTGGGGCTGGGAGCAGCCTGGGACAGTGGGAGGTGYCCCTGCCATGGCAGGGGTGGCACTGGGTGACCTTTAAGGTCCCTTCCAACCCAAAACTTCCATGATTCCACAACTCCACAGATGATCCCACTGCCTGTGGCTGCTGCAATTGCCACAGGCCCTGCACTACTCAACTAAAGGAGAAATTCAAGTACTGAGTTCTTGATAATTTTTGATTTTTAGTCCAGACCCTTAACTTTGTTTTCCCCCACTGCCAAGGGTTGATGTCCCCTCAGCTCCAGATCTGTCCTGGTCACCAAAAGCTTTTTGCTGCCCAAACGCTCAGCACAGCACCTGGATTATCAATCCACATCGTTTTTCCACCAATATTTTGTACTTCAGTTGCCTTTTTCCTCTCGAATGGAACAAAATTAAAAAATGCCACAGAGCACTGGGGCAGGCACACAGAAGCAAAATCACCTCCACCTCTAAATCAGCTCCTTCCTTACTCAGCCCCATATTTTACAAAACTCACTCCCGTCCCTCCATTTTTAAGTGGTCAAATTATTCGCTGCAGCCAAACATTTATTTTATATCGCAAATTTCAGCCCCAAGCATTTTGTTTTTCCAGTCAGGTCATGAAGCACCAAAATCAGAAGGGTTTAATGGAAAAAAGGCTGACAGACCCTAAACTGCAGCAAAGCTACCGGGTGCCACCATAATAAAGTTCATGTGTAAATGTGTATAAGTCATTGATTTTCTGTAATATAGGAAACACATGCTCGAGTTAACTACTTCTGTAAAATGCCGAAGTTTTATAGTTAGCAAATATTAGGAAATGGCAACATTAAAAAGGAGATATATGAGGTGATGAAGAAGACTGCTTCTTCATTTTAATGCTGATGACAGGACACTTGATTCTCTCTTGAGAGCAATTCTCCCAAGTTCTTGCTTTAGAAATCAGTTTTCAACCCTTAAACAAGGGTTGGAAAAATCCTTTAAAAGGAATAAAGTGACCACTGAAACGGCACCAACAAAAAAGGCAGAAAAGGATTTGTCAGTTTTATTCGTTTTTCCCTCCTCCTTCTTCTCCTTCCAAATCAAAACGAATTAACTCCATCGCTGGGCAAACAAAATGGATTTTTTCTTTACTGCTGAGGACTGAGGCTTGAGTTTCACAGGATTATGAGTGGAACKAGTGCAGTGCACTTGATCAGCCCAGTAAAACACAGTTTGCATCACATGGACACAACGTTTCTTCCAATATTTAAATAATCCAACGTTAGTGAGGGTAAATTCACCAATCTCTCAGCGCTGATGAGCTGTATCACTCATTCAGTCATCCCACACATAAAAGAAACAGCTAAAATCGGAATTTTGGAGATGATTTTGAATTTAGAAGGACATACCTCATGTCCTGGTATTCAGTCATCCCACACATAAAAGACACAGCTAAAATCAGAATTTCTGAGATGATTTTGAATTTAGAAGGACATACCTCATATCCTGGTATTCAGTCATCCCACATAAAAGACACAGCTAAAACCAGAATTTTTTAGACGATCTTGAACTTAGAAGGACGTACCTCATATCCTGGTATGGATCTGACTGACTCCACCACTGCCAAGGACACCAGGTGTTGGATGAAAGGAATTCTCTGGCCTAGGTTGGAATGCAGAGGGATGGAGATGTGCAGAGTGGACAGGGCACAGCCCACGGGACTGAGCCAGACATTTCCACCACGACCTGGGGAGGCAGAGGAAAAGCAGYCATTTCAACCCCTGAAATACATTTTAAAAATCACTTTGTGAAGGTACACAACTGCTAAAGAGGGAGATTCAAGAGTATCTGTCCAAGAATCTACCAAAAGCCCTTCAAGGGAGTTACCAAATTAATTTTGAAATWAAAAGGATTAGTGTGCAAAGCTTTTTCTTCAAAAAAACAGCAGGTTTTTAATGGAAAATTAAAAAATTTGAATTGTTCAAGGCCAGGTTGGATGGGGCTSTGAGCAACCTGGTTWTGTGGAARGTATGGCAGGGGATGGAACAAGATGATCTTTAAGGTCCCTTCCAACTCAGGCTATTCCATAATTATATTTTGTGATTCTAAAGTACGAGCTGCTCCTCCATTTCCCAGCCTGTCCTAAATCCCAGCATTTTCCCGTTGTCAGGCAGCAGAAACATTTCAGAAGATCTTGCTTTGTCCAAGTGGAGAAGCATTTGTGAAGATGCTCTGTGTGCATCTGGAATTCCATCCACACTCTGAACCACCCTGAAAGCCAGGGAATCATCTTTTCATGGATTTGTGCTYGGAAAAGCTTCTCAGGCCACACACTCTGCCCTTCCAGCAGAACAAACGTGGCTTTTAAAGAAGTGCCAGCATTTTTTTCCGGGCAAGAAACAGGACTTGCACACATTTATCTCTCAGGCAGGTCCTGCAGGCTCRGTCTCAGAGCCACTCAAGCCCCAGTTTTGTTCCAGTTCCCCCAGTTTGAGCTTTAATGTGGAGCTATGATTGGGTTACACTGACTGCAGTGATGGCAGTTTTCGTGCCTGGTGAAACTTTCTTGGCAGGAACCAGGAGACCACTAAATCATTTCTGCAAAAGCCACCAAACATCCTGAAAATGTTTACTTTGGTCTCTTATTAACTTTGGGGTTTGGAGTTTGGATCTGCAGTTTGAGCAGGAGGAGAAGAGGACACGTTTATTTTGTGGATTGTATTATCCAAAATGCTCATAAATTCATCTTCAAATGTCCATTTTCATATATTTAATACGCATTTTTTTAACAAAATAAGGGAATTTACTTACCTTTCCCTTGTGTTTGTCGACCAGCTACTGCTATTAAACCCATCTCCTCAGGCAACTCGAACATTAACCTGCCAATTAGGGGAAAAAAACCCAAAAACCTCACATGCTTATCAGCTGCAACACTAAGCTACATTCATGAAAATCAAGGCTTAAATATCAGGTAATATTTCATGTTAACATTGCACATTTTTTCTGTTACTGTTTAGCCCAGACCCAAACCTGCCCAAATCACAAAATGATTCTCTGAAAAATGAGAATGTGAAATGAATTTTATCTGTTTGAGTGAAATAAGTCAGGGTTCACTGAAGATAACACAGGTTTTGTGTTTCTTCACTTTTTCCTGAGGTGCTCATTGTTTTGGGGTGTGCCCATCCTCAGCAAGTGACAAGCAGCAATCCGAGACATTTGTTTCTACTTACAGCGAATTTTTGCTCGCGCTACAAAATGTCAGAGCAGCAGTTTCTGATTATTTGGAAAACCAATATGGTGGCAATAAAGCAGTTTAAAAGATACACTATCCCCTGAGAACTAATTATGATTTAACTACAGTAAATAAATCTACACCTTCTGAGAGCTCTAGAGAACACTGGCTTATTTTAGGGCTTGTGTTCTGCTTTTAAAATAGTTTCACTTAAAAGAATATGAACTTTCCTCTGGGGATAAGTAGAAAGTGCACTTTAACACCGGCAAATGAGTCAATGCTACACTTAAAAAAAAAAAAAAAAGAAAAGGAAAAAAAAGAAAGAAAAAAAGAAGAAAAAACTCTACTGTGAGAACTTTGTTGGAGCTACTTTCAATCAGATCTGAACTGCACCACGATCCTCCTCCATTTCATGTTTTCAGGGAATTATTTAAGAGATGAAACACATCCAAGATGTTGCCTATGAGGTAAGCCCCAAAAAGTGATGTGCAGCCCTCCAATCTCCTTCTCCCACGGCCACAAACACGATGCTGGTCATTCCTACAAGAGCAATCAAAAATCACTCCAAAAACTGATGAGGGCAGCCCGAATCAGAGGAAAGGCCCATTCAGAATGATTTCTCCCAAATTTATGATGGATTTGACAAGTGTATTGAGTTCTGCAGCCGAGGAAGTCCATGAGCAGCAAGGACCAACTGTGAGTGTCCCAAAGCCACGGCGTCTTTGTGCTGGGGACAAAATGAGGATCCCGGGATGAAAAATGGGATATCAGCAACTCCTGGGGCTGTGGCAGCCCTGAAACAATCCCAGAGATTCCAGAGGATCCTCAAATGGAAACAACAATCCCAGAGATTCCAGAGGATTCTCAAAACAAAACACAACAATACCAGAGATCCCAGAGGATCCTCAAACGCCTGACTCGCTTTGTGATGATCAGAACTGCAGGTTCTTGGAGGGCCTGGACAAAGCCTGGACAGCAAATGCCATTGCCAATGACAAATCCTAAAATCTTGGGATGGGTTGGGTTGGAAAGGACCTGAAGATCATTCAGTGCCACATYTGCCATGGGCAGGGACACAGAAACCAGTGTGAACCAGCAGGAACCAGCAGGARCAGTCTCTGCCGTGTTTTCCCAYGTTATTCCCAGATCAGTGAGAGGTTCTCCAGGGCCAGGAGCCACAAGATGTCCTTGCCAGTCCCCTTCCAGCTCACACAGAACAAAGCTGGATATTTGTCTCCTCTGGACCCTGTGCAGCACCTRCTGAGGCCAAGCTCACCTATCCACCACCCTTAACAGCAAATTTCACCTCTGCTTATCACCAAATCCCAGAATCATCAGGGTGGGAAGACCCCTTTGGGATCACCCAGTGGCACCCCAGCCCCAGCAGCATCACCCCAAAGCCTGTCCCCAAGGGCCACATCCAGACTCCTCCTGAGCATTTTGGATCTGGGTGCCACAGGAGCAGCTGATCTGCTGGAACGTCACTGGTCTCCAGAGGGATCCCAACAGACTGAACCCAAAATGTTCACAGCTGGAAAAACAAAACCTGCCTGCAAATATTCCAAAAACTCCATGGCTGGAGGTCAGAGACCCACATAGGGTGCACTATCCTTAATTCCTCATGAAGAGGGATATCTGGAATGGTCCTTTGTGGCTAAAGGAAAACCCCAGAATCCCAAAATCACCGAGGGGGGAAGAGACTTCATGGTCATCACCCCAAAGCCTGTTCCCAAGGGCCACATCCAGACTGCTCCTGAGCACTCCCAGAGACAGGGACTGCACCCCCTCCCTCCCTGGGCAGCTCATTCCAAGGCCTGACCACTCTGACAGGGAATTTTCTTCGCCAATCTCCACCCTGAGCCTCCCCTGGTGCAATTTGAGGCCATTTCCTCTCCTCCTTTCCCTCGGGACACGGCAGCAGAGCCCGACCCCCCCCGGCTGTCCCCTCCTGTCAGGGAGTTGTGCAGAGCCACAAGGTCCCCCCGGAGCCTCCTTTGCTCCAGGCTGAGCTCCTTTCCCAGGATGGGTTTTCCAGCCCCTTTTCCCTTTCCCTTCCCAGCCCCTCAGGGAGAAGATCCCCCAAAGCTCAGGAAGCTTCAGCCCTGTCTTTTGGGAACAGCCCGATTACAGCACCAAGCCCATGGTTTTGCAACATGAAAATGTAATTTAAATTTGGATGCACAGTCAGGAAGAGATTACAGGCTTTGCTGGAACACACTGATTCCTGTTGCTTCTCCATTCACGTATCTGTTTTTAAACAAGGAAAAAAACTAAAAAAAAAAAAACCACGTGCTGCCATGAGGGGAGGAGAACAGAGCAGGAAAAAAGCTAATTAGGAATCCAAAACATGGGCTTCTACACCAAAGAGATACAGCTGAGAGGAGAGATGATGGACACTTGGCAGCAGGTAAAACTTTATTRAATAGAGAGACTGAGGTTGTGCTTTGAAGGGTCAGGAAGAAATTCTTGGAAGGACACAGCCCTGGGAAGTTGTGAATTCCCAGACTGATACAGCAGGAGACACACAGATTTGGTTTTACTGCTTGCAGAGATTGTGCCGAATTACCACGAAGCCTGTGATAATAAAAATCTCCACGCAGCCCCCTGCTCGCCTTCCTATGCCTCAGAGCTCTGTCAATTCTCTGTGCTTGTTTACTTTGGTTTTGTTTTTTTTCTTTGCTGGGAGAAACAACTCGGATTTTCCTTACCAGACAGATTAACTGTACGTGCACTTTTTTAAATATCGACTTCCCTTCTTTTCTTTCAACTTAATCAGTTGCAGACTCAACAATTTCATTTTTCTGCAGAGCGGTTCAATCACAGCGCTCACCACATTTTTCCCCCAAAATTTTTTCCTTCAAGAAATTCTCCTGGTTTGTTTTTTTTTTTTTCTCTTTATCTTGCTCTGTCTATAAATTCCAAAGACCACACTGAGATACAAGAATATGGAAACATGAAATGCCTGAAGACAAATTTACCCATCAGGAAGAATATCAGATGGCATCTGTATGATGGTAGAMGATGACACTGGAATTTTATGTAAATTTTCCCTTTTTTTGAACATTTTTGTGGTATTTTCCAAAATATGAGTGAGGCACTTTTGACATTCAAGAACATTAAAACTGAAATGGTAAGAGAGAGATTCCAGCATGGTTTTTTTATATAAACACCCTTCTCCCTAAGGGTATTTACATAAAACCAGATCCTTATCCCATCTAAAGATGCTGTCTAAAGTAATAAACAATATTTAATAATTTTATGAAATAAATAATATATAATTTTAAAAWTATTAAATAAATATTAAATATCATACATAATATTATACATACAATATTATAATAAGTTATATACAAATAATTAAATAWAAATTAATATTTTCACGAAATAATTGAGTAGATAAAGGAAGTGGTTTAAATTATTAAATAGGACAATTAAATATCAATAATACAAATTAAATATGTTTATAATAAATAAATAAAGTGATTAAATATGTTTATAATGATATATTATATGTTCTTTGGAAATTTCAAGTGTAAGGATGACTCTGGCCAGCCAACACGACGACTTTTCATTCTACATGACCATAAAAAGCCAACTGAAACCCCAAAAACCTAAATTTGAGTAATGGTAAGAGCTATAAATTTCATTGATGTTGTGGGTTTAGTGTTGGAACTCTCGTTAAAGGTTCCTGCTGTGTTGCAGGGTTGCAGAGCACAGGCAGCAGTGCATTCCAGATGTTCAAACACCTGGGCACAACGGGGTCAGCCATGGCCAGATCTGTCCCTTCCCTTCAAGCTCCTCACCTGGAAATCTCGCTCTGGAATAGTTTAGAGAGCGTTGAAAAAGCAACAACACACAAATCCAAACCTTCTCCATTTTGGTCAAATCACAGAATCCCAGAATAACTGAGGTTGGGGGGTCACAGTCAGAGGAGCCACCATGGATGAGGGTAGGGTTGGATGGAATTTGGGAAAAATTCCATCCCTGGAACGTGGGGAGACCCTGGCACAGGGTGCCCAGAGAAGCTGAGGCTGCCCCTGGATCCCTGGCAGTGCCCAAGGCCAGGCACAGTGTCCATCCTGGGACAGTGGGAGGTGTCCCTSCCATTTTGGGGTGGGATTGGATCATCTTTGTTGTTCCTTCCCACCCAAACCATTCCATGATTCTGAGATCCAGTATAAAATAAATCTTGTTATCGACCCAAGAGCAGCAGATCCTGGGAATGGCACCACACTGGGAGCCCAGGAAAGGCCCAAAATCAGGGAACATTTCCTGCTTTGCTGTTCGTGGTGGAATCACTTTGAGATCCAGGCCCTGCTGYACACAATTCTACCACAAAATCCTCTTTTTTTTTTTTCCATGCTTACCCCGTTTTTCATCTGGTGGAATTTTTATTTTTATCCCTGATCTTTTATAATTAGCCCTTTGTGTTTATAGGCTTTTCCTCATACAAAAAAAAGAMAGAAAAAGAGGATTTTAAAACACAGTACCATGCAGGCAAAGGTGCCAGGAAACATACCCAGATAAGAAAGGACACCAAAAAATTTGCCAGCAAAATGCCAGTTAAAAATTCACAGTTTCTTTCACTTTCTGGTGGGTTTCCCCACAGCACATTCAGCACAGAAAGGGCCACTTCATGTCAAATTC